GCGTGAAATATATATATATATATATATATATATCTTCTAATTTCACTTAAAAATTACTAGTTTAATTTATCTCAAATTTTTACAAAAATTTGCGCATTTGAACAAAGCAATTTTTAAAAAAAAAAAATTCATATCTGACAAGTTGCTACTTTGTTTTTTGCATAAATAATATGCAGTAATAATATGCAGTGGTGAGAATTATTGTGCACATCTTGATGTGAACAACAAAAAAAAATATTATTATAATTGAGAACAAATTCTTTAAAAATTAATTCAACGTTTTTTTTTTAAATGTTGCATTTTTCGAATGATCAAATTTGAAATTATGAATTTCAAGTTAAGAAAGTATACTTGTTCCTGCGATTTATAAAAAATGCAGAAAAGGAATTTTAGAAAATAAATTATGAATTCTAAATAATATTTTATTAGGTTTAAGAAAGGGAAACGATTTTTTTCAAATTCTTTAATCGAAATATTGTTACCAGTCATACCAACGTTTTTTTAATGGTTGTTTTAATTAAGAAAATTAATGAAGGCTGTTTTAATCTTTTGGATTTATTAACTTAGTATTTAAACATTTGTACATGACCCATCAAATAATTTATCAAATAAAGAAGTCTAATATCGTTTTAACGTAGCTCTACTTATATTTCAGCTATACTATGCACAGAATTTTGTTCAGTATGAAGTCCATATTTGTTACTTTTATCTGCTTAAAAATAAATAAATAAATAATGAAAAATAAAAATAGTTAAAAATAAAAATGAATGAAGTAAATCTTTCCTTTATATGTGTTTTTACAGAAGAGTTAGATGGCAAAGTAATTTTCCCACCCTACAGAAACTTCCTGCTAAACTGGAAGCAATGCCAAACCTTGCAAGAGCTTAAAAGAGAGAGTTACGCAGTTCTCAGACCTTATCTAGAAACACGTAAGTTAAGCAAATCATTATCTATTACTCATGAATATTTTTATCCTAGGTATTAGACAAATTGTTCAATTTTGAATCAAATATTTTATCTAAATTTCTGGAAGTTTCTGTCACAGTAAAATATCTCATTATTAAACAAAGGTTGGAGCAAATCGAATGTAAGATTAGCTTTAGTTACTTTAAATACACAAAATCACACAGTAAATGTAAATTGAAATTAATTTTCTTATCGTTTTTTATATACCTATCTTCCATACATAAGCTACAGCAGAAATTACTTCCTGATGCTAGATTATTAAACACTAGTGATTTCAAGTAACCCCACTAGTAGTCGGACGTAAATTCTTCAAGTTAGATGTAAATTAAGATAATGATAACAATTATAAATACTGAAAATTTCTCTACATTTTGTCTCAATAGTATAAACATTACTTTTTCCATTAAATAGTTTCCTTAAATTTAAATTGTCCTCCATTTTCTGTTGGAATAGGTGGATCAATGATTTATAACATTTTCCATCCTGTAAAAGTTAATTAAAAAATCATTAATTGTAATTTTAACTGTGCAGCGTACATTAACAACAGTGTAAATACAATCCTATTTACGTAAAATTTCCCTAAATCAAATCCAATAATTTTGAAAATCCTGGAGCAGAAAAAGAAATTAACTGTCTCGAAAAAACATTTTCTAGTTTTTTTTAAATATTATGGGAAAAAATGGAATAAAATGCAGAAAACTTTCATAATTTCTAAAAACAATAAAATCCTCTATTGAAAAATATGTTTCTCTTCACTATAAGGAGAAAATTTTTTTATTTTTACAATACTGTCAGTCAATAAAAAAAATTTGCGAAAAAAAAGATATTTTCATGCTGGTAAAATGACAATTTTGATACCGTATACATCAACCTGCATGAAATTAAATTATTGTTTCATACAGTTTTTAAAATCATTGTATTTGATGTATCAAAGCAGATGATATTAATCTATATATCTTTTACGAGTATTTAATGGCATAACTAATGAGAGGCCGGAAAGAGCAATTGTCCCGGTTGTAGTCTTAAAAATGCACCAAATTTATGAAAAATTTGTATCTAAAAATTGACAGTAAATACTTATCCTTGAATCGAAACTAATAACCATTTAAGTGTAATAGAACTGTATACATTAGTAACGCATACTGTTCAATTTTAAACCAAATCAAATAAATGTTTTACGTTGATTTAAAGTTATGAAATAACATTCAATGTAAAATTTAATTATAAATTTAATTTTACAGAATCTAAACTTATAACAGTTCTAAAAAGTCCCCTTAAATCCCACCTTATATCATCTATATATATATATATTATATATGTCAGGGGGTGTAAAAACTGAGTTTGTCCCCTGAGCTACAAGCCTTAACTACGCCTTTGTTCGTTTTAGCAAGGTTTTGTACTTTTTCATCTGTATGTATATGACAACCCTTTAGACAAATAGAACTTTAATTAAAATATTGACATCTTTTAATTAAAGTACTACTTTGAAGTATTTTACTATTCTGTAAAAGACAGTTTTAACGCAAATTAATACCTTTGAGAGCTATTATTTAGTTTGATTTATTTGGAAGCATTGAACAAATTTTAAGAGGAATCAATTTTAGTTATCTTATTTTTAAATTTCTGAGGAAATTGTTCGGATGGACAACACACAGAGTGCATGGTTAAGCGATATTTCTCTCATTGGAGCAATTTAAACTAACTGCAAAAGAGAAGCCGGTCCCGTTCGCTGTTGTCCCGTTTTAGTTTATCGTAGGGTTAAAAATAAATATTCACAAAAAATTCCTTTTTTTATAATTCATTTATATAGATTGATTTTATTAATTCATTTATATAGTTGACTTGACAAAACAACTCCTTTTAATTTTCACTAAACCTTTAAAAGCTAGATTGACATAATGGTTCCGTGCCTTATTTTTTACTTGAGATTGCGTAACCATCATTACTAAAGTGATCCTTCAACAAAACTATTCTAACTTACAAAATAAATAACATTAAATCTACTGAATTTGTAACAAATGCATGTTCACTTATCCCACCACCATGTGACTACACAAGCCCCAACGAATACATCTGTTAGTTTAGGCCAATGCTGCCGGACTAAAACTGTACAGAGCAAAAATAGATCAAAATAGGTAAGAAACCGTATAATTTATTGCATATTAGGACTTATTGTTGAAATTCAGAAAATGAAATATATTAATAAGAGAGTAAAGAAAAATTTGTAAGTTACTTTCGCACCTTAATCTATTTCTACAAGTTTTTAAAGTATTAACAGTGAGAATTCGCAACAGCATATTAAAATATACATCGAATTTCCAATTTACGATATTTCGATTCGTGTTATAAAAATATTATATTCATAATATTATAAGCATTATATTATACAATGTACATAAATCTATATTAATTTTTTTTTCTTTAACAAACCCTTTAGAAATAAATAACAAGCAACTAACACCGCCACGATCAGTTCGTTCTTCATCAGTTGCTCCAAAACCTGACAGATCAGGAAGCGTGTCCAGTTCTCAGTCTGAATCTTCAATCAGCTCAAAATCCAGATCAAAATCAGTTCACAGAAAACCAGAGAAACCGACTGGCTGCCTTCAGGACGTTCCTAGGAAATTGGTGAAGAAGATAACTAAAAACAAAGTGGTCGAAAGATAACGAAGATGAAATATTTTATTGAAACAAAATTGATTGTATAAATGTATTTTTTAAAATTCTAATAAAATAAAATCTACTTTTAAAGTGCTTAATATTTATAGAATGCTGTTTATTTTTTACCGCCCCATCACCAATCCGGGATTTTATTTGTAATGCTATTTGAAGAAGAAAGAATTTTTAAATGCTGAAAATTCGTAAAAAATTACTGGAATTCGACTTCTTTTTCATTCTATTTTTTTTAAAGGCGGGCACTTGTCCATTAGCCTCAGAAAGTGCCAGAACTGCTACCCTCTTCTCGTTACCCAGTGGGCACCTGTGGCGAAGCCATGGCGGTGGAGCAGCGTCGCCCACGTCACACAACCCCGTTTATAGGGTGGGTCACATTTACACACAAAGGAGAACACAAAGAGAGAGAAAGAAACATCCATGTCCGGAGCGGAATTCGAACCCGCAGCCACTGGCTCCGCAGTCCACGCTAACCGCTCTGCCACCTGGCCGGCTTTTTTTCATTCTATAAGAATATATGTTGTAAGTACTGAACATTTAGCTTCAACAATTCATAACTCAACTACTTCTGTTATCTGTGTGGTTTTATATGGTTGAGGTAAATATTTTGTATCCAAAAGGATATAACAAACTTCGTGCTACGTAGACTAAAGGGAGAAACAGCGGGAGTAAAGTACAAATCAAAGTACAGAAATGGTCAAAATATTTCTGTATTTTATGGTTTATTGAAGTTGTTTTTCACTTCAGTTTACAATTTTCTTCTATGATCCACCGATTGTCCTCTTAAATATCTTCGGTCGTCACTGCGGATAATCTGCGGAAAGTATATCCTCTGTATCAGACATCGCCAATTCCATATCGACTCTCATCAGCCATTAAAGTATAAAGGTCTAGTTACACTGGGAGCAAAAGATCCGCACATGTAAATCTAGGGATCTGAACAAAAACATTATTAATTGAAAATGTTTACCCACGAAAAACTTGCCAATCATGTTCTCACTCGCACCTCCAAATACGCATACGCGATTTTTTCGCATCCAGTGTAAATGCTCCTTAAACTTGAACGCGTGTCTGCTCACCTGTTTTCATCAATGCCCCTTAGCTCCCATATAGCGTACTAACATTTTTGCGTTGTCCTTTGTTATTTCCTGTGGATAATACATCGCACGTATAATACGGTAGTTTTTAGCCATTAAACGAAACTACTGATTATAAAATCCTATTAAAAATGCTAACAAGTGTACTTTTATTATTAAATATATTTTTTATAAATAACTGACACTACAGCACTGAAGCTATTTTCAAACATGCTCTGATGAGCGACAGATTGAAAAAGAACATGAGTTGATCGTAAAACATTAATGCAGGGTTCCAGAATGCAGGGTTTTTGAAGGCAGGGTTCCAGGATTTGAAGTTGAAGACTAATACAACATTATTCTGTGTTCTAAATGCCAAAATTTTTCTACTGCGTTTGTTCATTTATTAAAAAACCTTTTAACTATTAATATTTTAGTCTTGTCTGTTTTCAGAGATCGTTCTTGTGTATTTTAATAGCCTTATTGTCCTTATACTGTTTTACTGTATTTTAGCGCTCTTTTTTTAAAAATGCATTTTAGTGCTTTTTAAAGTATTTTAATGTATTTAAGTGTTTTTTAATGCATTTTAATGTATTTTAATGTATTTTGATATATTTTTATGTATTTTATTGTACTTTAATGTATTATAACACATTTGAATAGATTCTATGTGTTTAAATAACTAGGCATTTCTTGTTTGTATTTTGGTGATTTTATTTAAGTGCTGCTGATCCAAATGGGTACTTTGCGAACTCCCGGTCTGTGAGGGAGCACCGTGGTGTGGGGTGTGGAGCTGCTCTAGTGCATGCTGCCCTGACGATCTCCTAGTTGTCTGTGGGGCATTCGGCTCCCGCGCGCTGCTCTGGGTAGTATGACTGCGCCTCTACTTGGATGGCGTATGTTTCAACGTTTCGTTCTGCTAGACTCGGATGGTTATGCATCACTCTGCTGTTAGTAGTCATGTCTTTGCACCTCGAGCTCAGCAGAATTTCTTATGCCCTTCGGGGCGGATCGAGTTTTCTTTACCTTATAATTAACTGAAAGAAGTTTTAAAAAGTTACTTAATGATAATAAAGCAACGATAGTTTGAGAAAGCGCTTCCAATATTCGAGAATACTTTTTATATACAGCCTTTTATACTAATAAACGTTGGGAAATAATACATTTGTCACAGATACTTAATTAGATTACCATAGCAAAACATTGCATTACAAATATTATATGCATAAAATATTACAAACATAAAATACAATTGTATAAAGATTGGCTAAAAATTGAAAAGAATTTAGATAAGAGTTCAGACATACAATATTTTATTGTAAAGTAAAATTAAAATTTTAAAAGCGTTCTTTTTTTTGGAATGATTTAATGATTTTAGAGGATTAATTTTTTTTTCCTCGTTGTGAATTATTTTTTCATAATAATTTACAAAATGAAAGAAACTTTTTAAAATCCTGATAACTGCAAAGCAATACTATCCATATGATAACAACATTTGTTGCTTAAATTACAATTTTCTTTATAGAAAAAAAACGAATGCGGAATTTTCATATACTTTAAGATTAACAGCAGCCATCCGAGCTTTGATTTTCTAGTGGTTTGCTATGCAGACGGAAGTAAATTAAATAGCAGAGTTGGCCTGGCTTTTGTGATCTTTTATAATAATATAGAAATGGAGAACCATCTAATTGGAATTCCTGATGACTGCATTGTTTTCCAAGCTGAGCTTTTGTGTCTTTACCACTCTATTAAATGGTTCCCAAACAACTCATCTTTTTCACAAAAATTCCTCATCTGTTCAGATTCCCTTTCATCCTTATTTGCACTTAAATGCATCACTTCATTTAATAGAATTATTGTTCATTCGCAGATTATTTTAAATGAACTCCAATCCGAGTTTAAATCTGTGTTCTTTTCGCATGTCCGAGAGTACTCCGGTGTTCTGGGTAATAAAAGAGCTGACTTTCTGGCGAAACAAGCGACTAATCTAGATTCCATTTGTGATATAAGTCCCCCCCAAATTTTTTTTAGACAGGCATAAAGCTCAAACTGTGTGGAACGAACAATATCAAGTTTCTACAAATGCTTCAAAATAAACTCTTCTTTCCATCTGTTAATCAAAGACTTAAAAACCAACATTTTTTCTGCAACTATCATGTGACACAATTTCTCACTGATGGACATGGCAACTTCAATGCATATTTGAAAAGATTTGGCTTAACTTCCAGTGATCTGTGTGATTGCAATATTGGAGGAACACAAGACGTAGAGCATTTTATTGTAAAATGCTCACATTTTGAGAAAAATGGAAAAAAATTTAATAATTGCTTTAAATTCACTCAATATTAACTTTTCTCCCCCTCTTCGCTCTTTTGTGGGAAACAAAACCATCTTCAAACTTTTCTGAAAATTCATTGATTCAGTTTTTAATGCAATTTTATAAGTCACTTTGTTTTGTGTACTATTTTAATGTTTCTTTTTTCTCATCCTTTTTGTAAATGTTTTTTTTTAAATTATTTTTTCTATTATTATTTTTTTTCTAAATTTTACATGCCCTTTTAGTATGTATTTTTGTTTTAAAATCCTATATTGTTTGTTACCATACTTACGTCTGCAAGCCTCGTGTTGTACTTTTTCAGTGATGCACGAGGAATCCTTTTGCTCTTGAATAAAAAAAAATAAAAAAAATAAAAAAAAAATAAAAAAAACTGCAGCCATCTTTATGACACCTGCTCATTCATCACTGACAAGAATGAACTTTAACACTTAGTACAATGAGACATTTTCTCAAATTACTCCTTTTCAGATAAGAACAGGTGAGAATTATCCAATATGTGTTTGTTATCTTTTTTAAGAATTTAAAAGGGTTCCTTATTAAGTTTTTCTTTCTTTTTAAATCTCAGCTTTGAAAGTGCTTAAAGAAACTGGTAAGTTCTGAATTTTAATTATGATGCTTGCCGTCATTAACCTTTTCATGCACAATTTTCATTAAATGTATTTTTCATATTTTTTTATTATTTTGTGCTAATTATGGTCAAAATAGGAGAAAACATCATATTTAGCATTTTAATAATACATTGTTATCGAATACAGGATGAAATTGGGTTTTCTTCGTTAAGTGTAAGATCTTCGAAATACTGCTCACTTCCAAAAAATTTTTTTCTAAATATGCTATTATTTAAACCTAAGGGAAACAGTTATTCATCATTGAAATTTTTTTTAATTTACAGATTCACTTATTATTCAATTTTTGAATATGAATGAAAAAAATAAATATTTTCAGGATTTTACATTTTAGTACAAATATATTTCCGATAATATGCCATATTTGTCAAGTAACTATTAGACTATTTTCGTATAGTTAAAAAAATATATATTTTTGCTTGTAATCATAGTATCTGAAAGAAATATATAAAAGGGACTCCGATGTCCCATCTGCGTAAAAAGGTTAATATCTCTAGAATTTGATGAATTATGTTAATAAAAATAATGAAGTTCCCGTACAGAATACCATACTTTATTATACATTATAAATTATATATATGCTTAATTTTTGATTATAGAGAAATTTTTATTATGAAAAGCGTTTAAAGTGACAGCAACCAAAATTCTACTCCATTGTACTTAGTTTGAAAAAATTACTTAGTTTTAACTTGTACTTAACATTAATAACATTAACATACGTAGTTAATTACATTGCATTAACATACATTAACGTTGTACTTAGTTTTAAAGAATTACACTGTACTTAGTTAAATTCGTGGAGTTAATAATATTAATCTACACTCTATTGAATATTATGAATCATACTTTAGTAACACATTTTTCATACATTTGATGAAGCAATTAAATTTCATATTAATTAAAAAAAAGTATTCAAAGCATATTTTAAAGGGGAACTAAGTAGCAAAATCTTAAAAAATAACACTCTGCCTTAAATAGGAAAGATAACTCTTTGCTTACGTTAAAGTTATTCACTGTGCTGAACTCATTATGTTAATTTTTATACTAGCTCTTCGAAGGATTATATTAACTACTAGTTAAAAACCCCTTCCCTCGTACAGGAAAAAAAATAAAACGGTGTTAATCAAGACTACGAAATCATGCACACAACAGAAAGGCATGTACTGACACACTTAAAAAAACTAAAAGAACAATTCTAAATTTATTTATTATTATTTGTTAAATTTCATAGTGATTTTACATTATTAGATGTAACCAAGTGTGTTTTTCGAGATTCAGCTCATCCAAATAAATGTTAACTATGCTCAGCATCATTTGACTTGTTGATATTGATTGTAGTCAACACACGATAGTTAAGATTTTTAAACAATCAAGCGATTTTATCCTCGATTTATTCCTTTCGGGGGACGTTAAAAGCTTATTTATGCTGTACCAACATTAAATATCTATATTAATTAATTAATTTATTTATTTTTAAAGCACTTTTAGCGCAATACCAATAGCACTGTTGCCAAAATTATCATCGCTCAGCTCGGTCATTGAGCTATCTGACACAAAAAATTCAAATTAAATATTGAACTATCTGATAAAGAAACTGAATAAAAAAACATTACAGAACTTGCAGTAAATAAAATAAAATTATTTACTAAATTTTACAAAACTCATAGATTCACTGAAACTCACTCATAGATTCACTGACTCATCGATTCATAGATTGACTGACAAATTTTACAAAACTCATAGATTCACAAAAAGTATGGTCAAAACTAGCAAAATTAAGAAAGATGCATTTTTAAAAAATTAATGTTTTTTTTTTTTTTTTNACAATAATATTAAAAAAAACGTTTAGTGATTTATTGATATACAAAAATTTTTTTTTTAAAATTACTTAACTATTTGGTAATGACATCTCTAAAAACAAAAATCATAATTCTGGAAACAAAAACAAAAATCATAATTTTGGAAGCAAAAACAAAAGTATATGATATTTAAACCTTTAATTTGGTACATTTTTGGTTCAGATGGTAACAGTTTACCTTAAATTCTGGTTTACTATATTATAGTTCTAATTACATCACATTTAAAAAAATTGCAGAAAAGTAAATTTAACAGAATAAGTAGTTTTCATGTCATGTTCAAAGTTATCCTGATAAAATTAAAATTACCACATTCACCAAATTTGATCATGCTTTATAAAACAATATTTTGCTGCCAATTTTACAAAAAACCTGTACCAAAGTGCTTTGGTAAAAACTACTTTGCATTTTGGAGTACCCATAAAGCCAGAAACATGGATAATTTTATCATGCTCTGGTAATTTTGACCACACTTTTTTCCCCAGGGTAACATAACATGCATATATATGATGCTGTTATTATATCTTTGTTTATAGAAAAAGTAAGAATACTAATATATACCAATATTTACAGATACCAACATGAAATTCATCGTTTCAGCTTTAGTTTTGGGAGCTTTCTGTCTTTCCGCTGCTGTTGCAGCCACTGACTGTGAAGAGCATCGTGAACGAGAACTCAAATCCGATTCTAAAGTCAAGTTGGTTCCCAAATGTACTGAGAATGGTGAATACGATTCCCTTCAGTGTTTCGAGGGATCACCTTTCTGCATGTGTTGGAGACCTGATGGTACACACATCACTGATCCTTCTTTAAAATTGAAGGCCTGTGCTTGCATCGCTCACAGAGACAGAGTTGTCAAACAACGTAAGATATTTTACATATAATTTGTTTGAAATTGCCATTAAATGGAAGTTTCAATATTAAATGGGCAATCTTTATTTGTTGCCCTTCTCACTGGTTTTAAGTTATTAGATTAAGCAAAGCACGTATTTAGCAATTCACCCAATCAAATTAATGATTAACTGTATTCAATTCTATCTGGCATAATGCTGCTGCTCAAGGCAACTCATGATATTTAAAATTTACCACAATCGAGCTACTTTTTCTTGTATTTATGTCTTCAAGCGCCGTCAAAAACGTATTTTTGTAGAATCTAATCTAAAAATGCACAAAATCGAGGCAGCTTTAATAAACAAAAATTTACTCATGAAATACTACTTTGTACCTATATAAGAGTATATTTGGTACCTATTAAAATTTCACCATTTACTATAATGTCAGTAGTGCCAATTATCAAAATAAAGCATCATACCTGTTAATAGTGAGCGATTTTTTACTGCTCCCCATAATCGAAAATCTGACTTTCTAATTTGTTTAACTTTGTACTCATTTAGCTTCATAGTGAATGTCGTTATTTTAGACCCTGAGATATACCTATAATCCGGTATGAAGACACACGTACCCACAAACAAATTCCTTATTTTATTATATGCATAGATATAGATCATTCTGAATATATGAGGAGATTTAAATCACGGCATTTCTTAAAAATACTGTTTAAAAAATTAGAAAAAAAAATTACTTGAATTTTGCTTTACAATAAATCCTTCAAATGTTTGTAAATAATAATGTACTATCAGCAGAGCATAAAATTATGGATTTTATTATAATTTTTTATTTTTTATTTTTTAATATGCATTTAAATTGGGGAAAAAACGTATTAATGACGTTGGAACACCTGAGATAAAAATGGAATTTACATTTAATATTACTTTTACTGTTTCCATTTTCATACTTTAGTGCGTACAATTGCCTAATTACTATTTTTATTGTTATAAGCACTCAAGTATAATCTTTTCTTACTTGAGTGACTAAAATAATAAACTAAAGAGTTTGTCTGTGTATATGCGTCCTTCTCTTATAACTTCAATACAGTTTGTTTTGACTTCTTGAAATCTGGACAACCACAGAGTGGGGCAATTACAACCCCCCGATTCTAAAAAACGTTCAAAAATTTCGATTAGAACTTTCTTGAGAAATGCTTGAAAAATGGAATTTTTCCTATTGCTTTAGAACGAGCTTTTGATATAAATAAAACTTCAGATGATTCTGTTTTTCTTTTAATATTTAAGCATTAAAATGTTTGATGTTGATATTTCCCATCAACATTTATAATTCTTAAGGCTCATAAATCATTAGCATATTTCTTATTGAAACAAGTTAATGGCTTATCATAAAGGAAGGACATATGAAGGACAAATCAGAATTTCTGTGTTCTCAACATTCAATAACTTAAAATATGTTGTATTGTTAACTGTCAAAAACTTGGATTTGTAAAAATTCTCCCTATGAATAATATTTCACCTTCCTATTTAAGCCATTAATGACAAAGGTTTAATAAACTTTCCCTGAAAATGAAGCAAAAATCACACAATCTTCCAAAAAAAAAGAAAAATGCAACTTCGAGGAACAAGGAGTTACTAGGCATGTGTCTAACAATGTTGCCGCATTTGAAAAAATTTAATATCTTTAAAAAATTAATTTATTCTTTTCAGCCATGAAGATAACAGAATATAACTCCATATTTGAAAGGGAATTTTTGCTTGTTTTTGATATTTTGTTCAATAATGTTTTATATACATTCAAATATATATTCATAATAGTTGTCAGAAAATTTGAAATAGAAAGAAAAAAATTATAAATCAAAGAGAAAATTTATTTTAACTTTTAATATAATAAATTTTTAAAATTTAATTTTTTATATAAACTCATTAGAAGACACCAGATATAGATGACAAAGAATTGAAAAATATTTCATTGAAAAAAATATTAAGGAAAAAGGTATATTTTGGCACAGTTTATGATTAAAAATCTAGTGTTGATAAATGGTAAAAATTAAAAATAAATTAGCTGTTTAATGTATAAAGAAGACATTTTTTCGGAATATAAATAATTTCTTATTGTTTCTCTTATACTCACCAGTGAAAGGTGCATCTTTTCTCACATTGTATAATTTGTTTTCGTAGATTTGATTGGAAATTACAGACCTCAATGTGAAGAGGATGGTACTTACAGCCGAACACAATGCCACGGAGGTATGGGCTACTGTTGGTGCGTGGATGAGCACGGAAACAAGCTGCCCCACCAGAACCTAAATGACTGTTAAAACTGTTGTATAAATAAAATCTATTTTATAGGCTAGTTTTTCTTGTCTTGCGAGTAATTAACTTCATTCACATTATAGCTTAACTCAAAACAAAATTAAAATGGTTTACTATTTCTGAGATACTTGTGGCAAAAATTCCTATTTTCATTAAAGAATACGAATAACCATTACATATGAATACCAAGAAAAATACCAAGAATACGAAAAAAATAAAACAAAATTCGTTTAAATACTTATAAGATACTTCTACCAAAAATCCGTATTTCCATCAAAGAATATGAACAACCGCTGCATACGAATACCAAGAAAAATACGAAAAATACGAACAAAATAAAATGAAAACTGTTTAAATATTTCTGTGATGCTTGTGCCAAAAATTCGTATTTTCATCAAAGAGTATGAATAAAACGCAATACGAATAATTGCAAAAAAAAGTTTAAACCATTCAGAATAATTCATTCAATAATTTTTCTATTACTACCAACAAAATTTATGGTAAAAAGTATTGGCACTCTGGATATCAAAACTTTTTATCATACTTTCAGTTTTTATCGTTAAGTTCTATGAAAAAAATATTAAGAAATTATCGAATGTATACTCAACCACCTGCGGGATTCGAACTAAGATAAACAGTTTTAGAACCAAGTGTTCTTTTTTTTCTGGACCCTTCCAATTTGTCAGAGTATAATGGTTTTGAAAAGAGGTGATCATGGCGACATACCATATAATAAGAAAATTTTTAAGACTTTTTTTCGGTCCTGATCTAAATTATTTTTTTTCTTCTTATAACTTACTGTTAAAGTTAATGATATTTTTTAAAGACTTCATTGCATAGCTGAAAATTTCCCGTCTTCATTGTACTTTTGCAGTTATAATGTTAAAAAAAATATCAAGGACAGTAAAAACTTTTTTCTCCTGGTTAGTTTTAATTAAAAATAGCTGAGCAATTTTGAAGGCATGAAAATATCGTTAGATTTTGTTAATTAATTAAATGAATTTCTAAAATTTGAAATGTTCTTTAAACTAATTTAGATTTTAATTTCAAGTAAAAGATGGTTCGTATTTCGGTTGGTTGTGTGCATCAAATTCTTGGAAATCAAATTTCCCCTTTTCCCGTTTTTTTTTTATCTTTCTCAACGTTATTTGATAATTACCATGAGTTCTATTTAATCTAATTTAGATTTTAGTTTTAAGTGAAAGATGGTTCAAATTCTTACAAATTAAACATTCCGTTTTCGTTTTGTTATTTTTCTCAACTCCATATCTCAACTTTATTTGATAAGTACCGTGATTTTGGTACATAAAAAATGAATTTCTAAAACTTGTTTGAATTAACTTTTTGGTATCAAGTTAAATCTAGTTCAAATGCTTACAAATTAAAGAATCAAATCAGAGTCAGGTACAGCAAGTGTTCTATTATATTTCCTCATCTCATGTCCTTAAAATTAAAGTCCAGGTTATCTAAGTATTCAAGGCTTTCTTTAACATCAGTCTAAACAGTCACGTGTTCCCTCTCATTCGGTGATTTTGGCGGAGAAAGAAAGGCGTCGATATAAGTTAAGATGAGTTATCTTTTCTGGTAGATTCGTGTTTTATACAGACAATGGAGGAAAATTGGAAATTAAAACTTCAGGAGAGTTAATATTAGTGGAACATTTAAATAGTTGATCATTTTGTGACATCACTTAGATAAATTAAAAATAAATTTCGAATTTCAATTCTTAATATGCATAAACTTCAAAATTATTTACAAAAACTATTAAAATTTTAATTTTTGAATGGTTTAAAAAACGATAAAAACAAATCTTGTGATAACCACCTACGAATAATTCTTAAATTTTAAAATGCTTCACATATTTTACACTAGCAAAATAAATATCCGTATTTATAATTGTTAAATTGTTAAATAACCATGTTAATAATAATCCATATTTATAAAGTTAAAAATCGAAGTTTTTTCCTATTCAACTTCAAAGTTTTTAAATTGTCAAAAAACTATTTCCCAATTGATTACTGATATACGTTATCATTGATCACACAAGCGTTACCACAAACACGTTTAAATTCCAGTTTAACATAAACAATATACCATATTGTAAAATCATGAATAGAAAGTTTTTTAAAGCATTTTGGCAGGAAAAGACTTCAGATATGACAAGAAATCGAAAAATAAAATTAAAATTGAGGAAAGAGTGCTGCATCACATTAATAATGGCAATAATAACAAATAAATAAACGCTTTCTTATTTTTTTAATTCTGAGTTTAATTTAATTTTACTCCTTTTTATTGATTGCTGTAATAAAGTTAAGTAACTTCAATACTTCTAACAGTATTCGCTATTTTTTCACGTGCAATTTATAGCAATTAAAGAAGATCTGGCGATTTCAATTGAAAAAGACTTTAAGATTTTATTACAGAACTAATAATTAAGTGCTAAAAGTCATTGTTGTATTTATCAAATTTTTTGTAAATTAATCTTTCTTGAACATTCCTCTCTGTGTGTAAATGTATGCTATGAACAAAATTAACTCAAATCAAACTACTAAAATTAAAAAAAAAAATAGAGAGAGAGGAGTTCTTTTCTTTTGAAAACATTGGCGAGGATAAGAATATGTAATGTAAATAAATGAAGAAAGAAAAAATCAAAAATGTCACCAATATTTCACCTACTACACTTTAGCACAAAAATTAGAAAGAATTATGATTAAAAATGAGTTATTCTATACAATCATTAGTTTATGGTTAATTTGTTTTCTTATTCGTTTATATTTACTTGTAAAATAGATTTTTAAAATTATAAATTTGATTTTTAGAAAGAATAAAATGGAATAATAGGAATTATTAGGATGTTTTAATGCAACGAAGAACATTCTAAAAGTATATTTCTATAAAAAATTAAGCATTTTTAATTCAAACAAACGAAAATTAGTTTGTCTGTGAAATGAATAAAGTCCTGCTTTAATAAATTTGTCTGTACTACCAATTGCGGAACAATAAATCATCATATTTCAAAATTTTTAACTTAAAAATGCCAACATTTATTTCCTGCCATTGAAATAACAAAAGGAAACAGAATTTGAAAATACTTTCCTGATCGGCATAACAGTCACGTGGTTTCAGTAGGAGAACAAAAATTATCTTCATGTGCGTGCTCCATTCGCGATCGCAACGAACTATAGGGGGCGTTGTTGTATGAGACTAATACCTGCGATTTCTATATGAACAGTCATTCAGTTACTCTAGAGACGTCGTTAATGTAGCACGTAGCATTGCAACGTTCCTTCTTTATTGTGGCTAATTAAATTTAAAAAAGAAAAATGCTTGATATTCTTTCTTATGCAAACGAAAACAAAATGGTATCTCTTTTTATTAGAGAAGGAATATCCAAAACACATCGGAAAAATATTTGTACATTAACAGAAAAAAATATGTATATTCTTAT